TGTAATTTACATCAGTAGAAAAAAGATAGTTCATTCTCATCGTCAACTTTGTGCAAAATGGGACCTGATGTAAAAGTGACAAATTCCTCCTTGTGTCAATCCACAAACAGGCCACATCAAAATATTAAATCTATGTACCAAACACTCCCATTTATTCTTTATTTTTTAAATAAATTACCTTTTTTCCCACATTGAAAATGACTATACATATTGTGCAATACAATCATATACAATATTTATTGATTTATGTACTTTAAAAGGGCACCTTCTTTGTGAACGATATTTTTATTCAATGTTTTGTGGTGCCATCAGCCAGGTCGACTCGTGATGCAATCTGCCCTAAATCGATCCAAATTTAGCTCGTCCAATTCGGATTTTTTTTTTTCATTGGCTGCCGATTTTGAAAATGTTTTATAGTATAAAATTGGGAAATTTTCTTAGCATCATCAGCTTCATTTATTCATGAGATTGCTTGGTACAAATATGGCAATAAATTATATATGAAGTGGGATAGAGTTAGTCTATATGATTCTAGTGCTTGTAGAGAGATTAAATAAGATTAACATAAGTTCATGTGTGTAAAACAATTTATTGAATCTTGCTCATATCAATTTAATGGTATGGACTAGCACTGGTATGTGGGAAAATTTGCAAAACACGCCAATAATTTCGAGAAGATGACCATTTTATCCAAATATATTTTGTGATTGCACAAAAGGTCAATTTCAATTCGCGAATATTTAATCTAAACATATGAATTAGTGGGCATTCCTTGAAATATTTTTTGCATTTAGTAGTGATAGTTTTTGTCTGATTATTGCATTTTCTAGGCATGTTGTGCTCGGTTTTTATTAGTTGTAAATGGACATTTTGAGTAATCGCAAAGTTCCAGGACAAAATTGTCATTTGTCCCAAATTAATGGGTATATTTTGCACTTTTTTTTTCCCTCTCTGCTACTATATAGTATATACACACACACACAAAGATAGTCGAGAGACGATTTTATATCATATTTTTTGAACAGACATATATTTACTTACTTTGAAATGTTAATCCAATTTCTTAATAAGTGAAAACCCCAACCAAGTTAACAAACTAATTAAGAGCCCCATAGAACACATTAAACTAATTATAATCTGGTCCCTAGGCAAACTTTGCTATTGACCCTTCCAATATTTATAGATTGTTGTACTTTGGCCCTCCAAATATTTATAGAAGTTGTACCATAATAATTAAGTTTGGATCAAACTTTTTGGAGTACAATCACATGCCCCTTTCAGAGCTGCTGAAGATTTAACATAATTGGCATCGACTCTGTATACCATTTTTTTCATTTCATGGAAACCTCATAAACAGCCCTTATCTGCTAACTGAACTTTACCACAAAGAGGTGTAAATAGGAAATATGGAAAACAAAAAGAATGGTTCTTCTAGCATTTATTGCCATCACCACATTCTAGCTACTCAATTTTTATTTTTTATTTTTAGAAAAGCTCGATTCTACCCTTACGGTCAAGACTCGAAAATGATGCATACAAATATTGAAAATTCAAAAATTCGATCGTATTTGAGATTTTTACTGTAGAATTATACACTCAGACTCAAACACACATGAATATGTATTGATCAAATGATAAAAATAAAAAAATAAAAAAAATGATGTGAATATCGATAATATCGAAATTTTTTGGAAATACATTTTATTTTTTGGGTGTAGTGATGAGGCATCTATAGTGGGCTAGTGCTAGGCTGTGGTGGTGGTTAGGGTGTGCTAAAATTGGAAATGTTTTAATGGTCCAAGTGAGAGTTTTAATTGCCCTTTTTCTATTTATAGCCAAGGCCTATCTTTATCGGGTGAGCTTTCACGTTTTTTCAACAATGAGATAATGGCCTCAATTGTACTAAGTCTCGTGAAGTTTGGAGGGGACCAACATTGATGTTGAGGCTTGTCGAGTTGTACTTAATTGATTATTGATTAATTATAAAAATATTAATATTATAAACTGTAACGGTAAACCACATTATGAGGATAT